GTGTGTGTGTGTGTGTGTGTGTGTGTGTGTGTTTGTAGGGCGGTGGGGATGTAGGTGTGAGTATGGATAGTTGCAGTGATGTGTGGTGCAGGGTCCCGGGAAAGTGTGTTTGTGTGCATGGGCTGTGCAGTGACCTGTACATCCGGTGGGGGGGGGGTCAGTACCATTTTGATAAGAGCCCACGGGAGTGGGAGGTGTGCCGTGGGAGAAAAGAGATCAGTCAATGTCGCTAGTTCAATGTTTCGGTGTATCCCAGTCTTTCAGTACTCACTGTGACATCATCATCATTCCTGCGGGCGTAGAAGGGCTTGATCTGCGCAGGGTAGTCTGTGACAAACACTGGCACCTCACCCAGGGCCGCAGTCAGGTACATCTCATGCTCCTTCTTTAGGTCGCAGCCCCACTGGAAAACAAGGACATGCCCACCGGCCAGATAGAGAGGAACAGATATATTAGTTTAAGTCTTAATGAGAGTTGCAACAAAAATAGGTCATATAAGTGCCGAAGATTATAGTACGTGTTACTAGAGAGTAATATAAACACAGAAAAAAAGGAGGGGAGTTCAGGACAATAGATGTTTGATTGATAGGAAAGGAGCAAACCACATTAGAACACTCGAGAGATATTTTAGGAACATGTGGCTGAGGCAGTAATGAAGGGGCAAATCATAAATGTAACAACATGACATTCGACATTTTTTATTAAGTCTTCCAATCACTTATAAACAAGGTGACATAAAGTAACATTTTTTCAGAGAACATTTTACAAAGGGTACATATTAAGTCCTTCACTGTCCTCCAACATATACAACAGAAAGTATTATTGTTGCTGGTGATGAGACAAAACTACAGTTCACTACATTCAGAGAGGCATTGAAACTTCCACTTTTCTTGGAAGTCTCAAGGCATTTAAAAAGGGACCAACTTTCCTTCTATTTATTTTATAGGAAAATCATAAATTGTTGGAAAACTTTGTTGCAGGGAAGGGGCGGAAGGTTAAATATCAACTTACAAAGACTTTGTAGCGGAAATTTGCTGCAGCATTTGTGAGAATGTCGATGGCTTCGGTGTACGTGATTCTGAGGAGGATAGAAGGGAGATAACACAACAGTAGAATTCACAAATATCGAAAAAAGAAAATCACGAATTCTCGGGTATCTCGAACGTAATGCTCGGTCCAGTTTCAGTCCCTATGTTTTCTTTGTATTGACTTCACGGAGTTCCTGAACACTTGGAACACGCAACACTCGAATCTCGAACAAATCCACTTCACATTCTCAACTAAAGACCCTGCTTTACAGCCTTTTTGGCCGCAGGTAGGTGTTTCATTGTTATTGATATTGCTACAGCCAAAACGTGGTCCTTGTCTCACCACGAGAGGCTGGAGGAAGGGGGGAACGGGAAATGGGGGTTGGAGCGTGATGCTGACCACACCACATGACTGGCTTGTCACCTGTGCAATCATGCTGCGGGAAACGCGCGGTGCGGACGGCAAGAGGTGTAACTTTCTGTAAGCCAATGAAATAAGAGGAAAGGAATGACGAAAGAGTTGGCTGTACATGTGAGATTTTCTGCTTTCCACTTTCATTCATCTTCTTGCTTTCACACCGTCAACATGTTCATCAAGGGAGCTAACCACATAAATTGTTTCAATGGGTTTTTGTTTACCTCCCTTGATTTTCTCCTATATTATTCTTTAGAAATTTGGGGCTTTCACTTTCACGGACATGATGAATTACGGAAATCTCAAACACTATTTCCAATCCCCAACGAAATTGAGTTACCCGAGTTTGACCGTATTACACATTTCTCGAAATGATATTTAAATTTGTCTCTGTTTACAGAAGTAAAAACTTTAATTCAAAACATTCTTCAATATCTTCTTCCTTCATCCCCCCCCCCCTCCAAAATTGTCCCCTAATATTGGAATAAATCAAGTACATTATCTCCATCTTTTATTGAAGCTGTAAGTATGTGTCTTACAGACAGTTATATAAAGCATGAGAACTGTTCTATCACAATAGACGATGTGTCAGTGTTATTTTGGTCTAAATTCTCTGTCATGTGATGATGGCGTGTTTGGTTGCAGTCAGCATGTTACTTCATATCAGTCTAGAGAGAAAAAAAGGACTCCTCTTTTTGGTGGCCTTGTGGACGTACCTGAGAGGGTGAATGTGGTCAGACACAGAGGGAGCAATACCGTGGAGACCATCTAGCGATAAGCTGATGACAGTGGCAGTGATGTCCGACACATAAAGCAAAAGGGTTAACTGAGGTGATGCTCTCAATCTGTGACTGAGGTGACCTCTATAACTGACATGATGCTCTGAATCTTCGACTGACGAGATGTTCTGAGACTGAGGGGACATACTGTGACTGAGGGGAACAGAATTTCCTTGGACAACAATTGGGTTCCCAGTCACCATACAGCCCCTCATGACAGTGTTACTAAGGAAAACTTCACCAAAACAGAACAGACCTTTTGAAATCAGCCGACATTGTTTTCTCCACTTTGTCCTGGGGGAGAAGAGAAGAAAAAATTAAATAAAATTACCTGAATCATCATGAATTCCTAAAAAACAAACAAAACAATCCCACTGCCCCCCCCCCAAAGTCAACAACAAAAAATAACCCCCAAAACCAAAAACAAACAAGCTCCACTGTTACAGAACCTGACATAAACTCTAGATATCACGTAAGGTACGAAGATATTTCAAGAAAGTAAAACAGTATGTTTTTGTATTTATTTTATCAGGAAAATATATGGCATTTTTTGAATAAGCACAAAGATTATGAAGAACACAAAAGGGATCAATATAAAAACCATTTGTAACATTATAAGTAACCACTTTCACGTATTCCGGAATACATGTACCACCAGCAGTGCCTGAAACAATTCAATGTTCTAGAATCTGCTGCTGCTTAAGTCGGTATATTCGTAGTTAAGGAGTTACAAATTTAATGACAGTTAATTGACGATAAGGATTGTTTGCTTTTATCAGTGCAGA